AGAAATAGACAAGACTTATCTTTTAATAGTGACAAAAGATTACAATCCAGATTACAAACAACTAGTAACCACTAAGAAGTCAAAGCAATATGAAGTAGACACTGCAATAGAAAAAGGAGGAAAAAGAAAAGAAGAAAAACATGAGGCAAATAAACATATGAAAAGACACTTACTCTTATTAACAATCTGGAAAATGCAAATTAAGTAAAAATCAGATTTATATTCAGCAGATTGATAAAAATTAAGAATAACCAAGCACTGATGACAAAGTAGAACAATGAAACTTTTTTTTTTTTTTTGAGACAAGGTCTTACTCTGTCATCCAGCCTTGAGTGCAGTGGCATAATCATGGATCACTGCAGCCAGGATCCCCCAGACTCAAGTGATCCTCCCACCTTGGCTTCTTGAGTAGCTGAGACCACAGGTATTCACCAACACATCCAGCTAATTTTTGTATTTTTTGTAGAGACAAGGTTTCACCATGTTGCCCAGGCTGGTCTCAAACTCCTGGACTCAAGCAATCTGCCTGCCTCAGTCTCCCAAAGTGCAAGGACTACAGGTGTGAACCACTGCACCTGGCCACAATAACTCATATGCTGCTGGGTTAGACTGCAAATTAGTGTCACTGTGGCAAAATTTTGTGATGTTGAACATAGTTTACTTCATAACCTTAAAACATTCTGAATATAAGCCTATAAGTCCTTAATAATGCCCCCTGCAAAAGAATAGACTAAAAGAACACCATTTCCACTAACTCTTTTCTCTGGAAATTGGTGATTACAGGGAATAATTAGGATTTTTTCTTTTTCTTTAAGACAAAGGGTCTCACTCTGTCACCTAGGCTAGAGTGTAGTGCTGTGATCATAGCTCACTGCAGCCTCCATCTCTAGACTCAAGCAATCTTCCAACTTCAGCCTTCAGAGTAGCAAAGACTACAGGCACCTGGTTAACTTATTTTATTTCTTGCAGAGATGTAGTCTTACTATATTGCCCAGGCTGGTCTCAAACTCTGTGGCTCAAGTGATCCTCTTGCCTGGGCCTCCCAAAGTGCTGGGATTATGGGTGTGAGCCACCATGCCTGGCTGAAATAATGAAGTGTTTATAAGTGTTTCCAGGAGAATGAAGTTAGCTGCAGTTAATGAAGAAGAGGTTATGAAGAAAGCTGACTGATAAATGTTAAGAAGAATGACATTTTAAAAATCATGCTTTTGTTATCCTAAATAAAATAATTTAACATGAAAAGTATCCCCAATGATAGTGTTTTGTTTTGTTTTTGTTTTTTTGAGACAGGGTCTCACTCTGTTGTCCAGGCTGAAGTGCAGTGACAATCATGGTTCACTGCATTCTTGACCTCCCAGGCTCAAGTGATTTTCCTACCTTAAGTCTCTTGAGTAGCTGGGACTACAGATGCACACCACCACACCTGGCTAATTTTTGGTCTTTTTTTTTTTTTTTTTTTTTTTGTAGAGAAGACTTTACCACGTTGCCCAGACTGGTTTTTTTTGTTTTGTTTTGTTTTGTTTTTTTAAAGATAGAGACAAGGTTTCACCATGTTGGTCAGGCTGGTCTTGAACTCCTGACCTCGTGATCCACCTGCCTCAGCCTCCCAAAGTGCTGGGATTACAGACATGAGACACCGCACCCAATCCAGACTGGTCTTGAATTGCTGGCCTCAACTGATCTGCCCACCTAGGTCTCCCAAAATACTGGGATTATAGGTATGAGCTCCTGTGTCTGATCCTCAATAATACTTTTGAGCAGAGTGTGCCAAGAGGTTGAAGGCCATAATGAACTGGAAATTCTTATAATGCCAAAGTATACAGAGTACTTACTGGGTGCCAATAAGGAAAACATAATTTTATAATGAAATCTGTCATTACTTCAATCTAGCCATCAATCATGGCATCTCTAATAACAGTGAGACAGACAGATATTATACATCTTTTAAGATAAATATGAAGTAGATAGTATCACCTATTAAGTATTCTTGCCAGAAATGCTTGCACTTATATTAGGTCTTCACATTATCCTCCAGTTTACAGAAAACGCAAGAAATACAGAAGCTAAATGAGATGACAAGGAAATAATCAGAGGAATCCTTCAGATTGAATATTCTCCATAAAACTGACTTGGTCTCTTCAAGTCAATATATTAAAAAGAAAGACTGGAATAGGTGGTGATGATCTAAATTTTTTAAAATGTAAGTGAACAACTGAATACAATGCAATCAATGGCAAAGACATTTTTGACACAACTGAGGAAATGTGAACAGAGACTGAGTATTAGGCAATATTGTGGAATTATTGTTAAATGGCGAAAGTGATGTGGTAAAGGAAGCAAATGACTTTATGGACATAAATACTGATATATTAAACAGTGAAGTGTCACAATTTCTGCACTTTACTTTGAAATACTTTGAAAGAAAATAAATATGACAAAACATTAACAATCATAAAATATAGACAATAAGCAATGGATACTTATTATTCTATTTTTCTGAATGTTTGAAAATTTTCCAAGGGGAAAAAAAGCAAATAGAATGTGATCCGTAGCTATGAGTAAAATCAATTCTTTCCTTCATAGCTAAGCTTCATAAAAGAAAAATGAAATGCTATGTTGAGGAAGGTTTGTTTCTAAGTCAGAACTCGAGATTGAAGAAAATGAAACAACAGAAAGAGAGAGGTTGAAGATAGACGACAGAAGGAATAATTAATGGAGCAAGGACCTGGAAGAGATGGGAATGAATAACATCATGTATTCTGAAGTAGCATTATAAAGGAATAAAACATTGTATTACAAAAAGAGGAAAAAAACATAGCTAAGTCTACAAGCTGGAAGACAGCAAGTTCAGGAAGTCTGAAAATGATGGCTGAATTAAGAATAAAGTAATCTGCTGAGAGTTAAATATGGTAAAAAGGGAATGGGAACTGGGAAGAATGGTAAGGTTTGAAGTAACCACTGTGAGAAATGAGATAATTAATGAAAGCCAATATAAATATATACGAAGGGCCACTGGAAACATAATTTATTGTCAGCAATCTCAGTAACTATGCAGTAACACTTGGCTACATGAATACAGGATACAAAAGGGCAGAGGAAGTACAGTTGTTCATATCAGAACAAGGCTTTTACACGTCAGTCTAGAGATCTTGATAAAGCAGAATGCGGAGAGCATAAATGAGGAAGTGAAAGAAATAGGGGGCCAGAAGTCTGATAAGTAAACAGGATAACTGAAATTTCAGAAATGGATTGTACATATGACAAGATCTAAAAGGAGAATTAGTTACCAAGAAGGTTGGGAAATCTCATTCTCTATCAGACTTTTAAAGTAAAATAAATTCTCTGCCTGGCTAGTGTGATTTCAATGTGGTTTTACCAAGTGAAAAAACGGAGATGATTCCTTCTTATCCGTTACAAGGCACAGCAGCTTTTTGGTCTATATGATGTCACTACATGATGGTAGTGATTTAAAACATATCAACATGATGGTGGTTATTTAAAACACCACAAGTAATTCATTAATACAGTTTGTGCAATAGGAATATCCATGGGAGTAGTATGTTATATATGTTACTGTAATTTCACATTGCAGTAGAAAAGACACTGCTAACTGCTAGCATAAGTATTGTTATCACTTTAAAGCATTTTGTACCATAGAAAGTACAGTATCAGAAAAGCTAACTATGACCTAAGGCTAAGAATTAAGTACTGGAAGCTCGAGAAATAACAGCTATCATTTTAATAAATATTCTTAATCTGATTCAAAAATAAAACTAATGAACCAAGACTGTTTATTTTGAACTTTTATGACATGCATACCAAGAAAAGCTTCATTAGAAAGTAGCACATTAGCCGGGCGCGGTGGCTCAAGCCTGTAATCCCAGCACTTTGGGAGGCCGAGGCGGGTGGATCACGAGGTCAAGAGATCGAGACCATCCTGGTCAACATGGTGAAACCCCGTCTCTCCTAAAAATACAAAAAATTAGCTTTCCTAAAAATATAAAAAATTAGCGCGTGCCTGTAATCCCAGCTACTCAGGAGGCTGAGGCAGGAGAATTGCCTGAACCCAGGAGGCGGAGGCTGCGGTGAGCCAAGATGGTGCCATTGCACTCCAGCCTGGGTAACAAGAGCAAAGCTCCGTCTCAAAAAAAAAAAAAAAAAAAAAAAGTAGCACATTATTGGCCAGGCTGGTCTTGAACTCCTGACCTCAGGTAAAAAAAGAAAAAAAAGGGAAAAAAAAAAAAAAGAAGAAAGTAGCACAATAAACATTTGGCCAGGTACAGCAGCCACATCTGCAATCCCAACATTTTAGGAGGCTGAGGTGGGAGAATCACTTGAGCCCAGGAGTTTGAGATCAGCCTGGGCAACATAGTACGACCCTGTCTCTACAAAAAAATTTTTTTAATTAGCCAGGCATGGTGGTGTGTGCCTGTAGTACAACTGTACTTTAGTAGAAACAGGGTACCTCCTATACTCAGGAAGCTGATACGGGAGAATCACTTGAGCCCAAGATTTCAAGGCTGCAGTGGGCCATGATCACACCACTATACTCCAGCCTGATTGACAGAGCCAAACCCTGTCTCTAAAATAAATAAATAAATTTTTAAGTTTGCAATCCATACCTCATGTCTATCTTGCTGGTTATGCTAATTTTAAACTTAAGTGACACTTAGGGGTCAAGCTAAGAGGAAAAGAATGTCAATGAATGGGATCACACCAGAAAAGTTTTTCTTAAAAAAATAACAGCATCCTCAAATATGTATATCCATTCCACACTCCTAATTCCAGTCAATGTGGAAAAGGAGGAAAGTTTTAAAGGTAGTACATGCCGGTCCCATGTACCACTATTAAAGTTAGCACATTCTAACATTAGCTTTATGTTATATTGAAACCAATACTACCAAAGAAAATAATAGTTCTATAACCTAAGGAGGAAAACTGTACCACTAGAATGTTTTGTCACTTCCACTGAATTTCCAAAAAATATATAAAATACTTACTTTCTCATTTTTTTTGAGTTGTATTTGACTTGGTAAGCTGCTTGGATTAACTTGTCTGGGACTCCATCAAACTGATGTGGAATGACCTTTTGAAAGTGCTAAGACACAATAAAAGAAAAGCATAAGAATGATTTAGTGCTGTTAATAGTGAAATCCAAAGACACTAAATAAATTATGGACTAGGCACGATGGCTCATGCTTGTAATCTCAGCACTTTGGGAGGCCAAGGCAGGCAGATCATTTGAGGTCAGGAGCTTGAGACCAGCCTGGCCAACATGGTGAAACCCTGTCCCTACTAAAAACACAAAAATCAGCCGGGCATGGTGGTGCACATTTGTAATTCCAACTACACAGGAGGTTCAGGCAGGGGGAGGATCACTTGCACCTGGGAGGTGGAAGTTGCAGTGAGCCGAGATCACGCCACTGCACTCCAGCCTGGGCTACAGAGTGAGACTCCATCTCAAAAAAAAAAAAAAAAAGAAAGAAAGAAATAATTATGAAATTACCTGTAACATCCCTTCCATGTCGAGTTGCATCAGTTCTGCCTGATTCATTTGAAGAAGTGCTAATCCTACTCGAAACACTATTTCTAAACCCTGAGGAAAGAAGGAAACAAATTAAATAAATCCAAATTTATCTTACTCTTCCATCAACAAAAACAAGTCATTTCAAATAATACTAAGGTAAACATTTAGGAATCTAAGCTAAAGGCTGGCAAACATTTTTTGTAAAGAGTCAGAGAGCAAATACTTCCAGTTTGGTAGGCTACACTGTCAAAATTACTCAGCTCTGCCACTACAAACCCAAAGCAGACATATACAACATGTAAATATATGGTCAGTGCTGTATTCCAGGAAAACTTTATTTAAAAACAAACAAACAAACAAACAAAAACAGGTGTGGAAAGACACATTTGGCACAAAAACCTGTCCATCTGATTGGCACATGAATCATACTTGGCCAACTCTGATCTGAACTAATTTAGATAGGTACTACAAATTGATTTTCCAAGATGTAATTAATAACAACTAATATTGAGTTCACAGACTAGAAAACAAAGGGTTACTACTATGTGCTGCTGGCAAAAGGACAACAACCTGAAACGTGTTCATAGAATAGAAGAAACATGCTTATTATGTCTTTTCTCTTTGGATAACGGATGCATTGCAACAATACTAACTGTAAGACAAATTTTACCTCTCACTAACTTTCACTGTATCAGTTAGGAGGTGATAAAGAGGTATGATTAACAGTGTAGGCTCCAAACTGCCTATGTTTGAATCCTGGTTACAACATCACTTATGTATTGTGTGTTCACAGACAAGCTACTTAACCTTTCTCTAAGTCTCAGCTTCCTTATCTATCATCTAACAAATAGAATAAAAACAGTATCTAACTTACAGGGTTATTTTAAGGTTTAAATGAGATTATCCATGTAAGTACTTTTGCATGGGACACATGGCTTTCCTTCATTGCTCTCTTCGTTGCCCTGCTCTCACACACTCAACAATCCCTTTGCTCAGCTCCCGCTCCTTGTCTCTCCATTAGCTTACCTCAGACATAAAGATATCAAATATTCTTGTTGCAATTGGTAGTGGAAAAGTTGTAAGAAAGATAGTCAGAAACCAGGATGATGCATACATTGAGGTATGAAAACTCTGAGATTGAAAATGTACAAAGAGCTCTGGAAGATGCTCCTAAAGAGAAGAAAATAATTAGTTAAAACATAGTAAAATTGAGCATTTTAAATTAGATCATTATATTTATATTACATTAGCCTGTACCAAACACAAAGATTAGATCAAGCATCATATGGAAAAGGTAAGATGTAGAAATTGAAACATTCGGATATGTGAGGTTCGAATTTTGAATATAATATTTATTAATAAAAAGAAACTGAAATAAAAGTTTTATATTTGTTTAATCCTGTTGGATACATGAGTGACTAACATTTTCTATACTTTTCTATCAACCATAATGTTTTTTTTAAAAAGTTTATAAGGAAAGAAACTGTATGTTAAAATACTTTCAGGCACTATCTACCACTGATCACCTACTCTTACCTTCCTAAAGAATAGGAAAAATACTCAAAATACAGCTGTTTCAGCAACTCTAGTAATTCAAAACATAAATGAGACTTTTTTTTTTTTTTTTTGGAGATAGAGTCTCACTCTGTCACCCATGCTAGGGTACAATGGCACAATCTTGGCTCACTGCAATCTCTGCCCCCCAAGCTCAAGCAATCCTCTGATCTCAGCCTCCCAGACAGCTGGGACTACAGGTACACACCACCATGTGCAGCTAATTTTAAAATTTTTAGTAGAGACAAGGTTTTGCCATGTTGCCCAAGCTGGTCTCGAACTCCTGGACTCAAGCAATCTATCGACCTCAGCCTCCTAAAGTGCTGGGATTACAGGCATGAGCCACTGTGTCTGGCCATAAATGACATACATTAATTGAAAATATAACACCAAGAGAGTTTAAGGCTGCTAAAAATAAGCTTACTCTTTCAGGAAAAGAGTTAATTAAGAATCATCTCAAGTCCAGGCACAGTGGCTCATGCCTGTAATTCCAGCACCTTGGAAGGCTGAGCCCAGAAGTTCAATACCAATCTGGGCAACACAGTGAGACCCTGTCTCTACAAAAAATTTTAAAAATAAAAATTTAAAAATAATAAAAAATTAGTCAGGTGCAGTGATGTACACCCATAGTTTCAATTATACAGGAGGCTGAGGCAGAAGGATCACTTCAGCCCAGGAGGTCGCAGTGAACCATGATTGTGTCATTGTACTTCAGCCTGAGTGACAAAGCTAGACTGTGTCTCAGAAGAAATAAATAAATAAATAAAATAACCTCAAGACCTATTCTGGCTTTTCCTTTAAAATACATAAAAACAAAAAAGATGTACCCCATAATGTACAACTATTGTATGTCAATTAAAAAATAAAAATAAAATGTAAGAACATTTTACATATCCCCTTGCTCCCACCACAGATGAAAAAACAGGAATTTATAAGGCTGCTAGGAGAGAGGAAACTAATAAAAATGGCTCTCATGCCAGCTGAATCATTAACCTATTTTTTTAAATTCTGCTCATTTAATTGAAATTCGAATTTAAATGAAATTGAAATTTAAATAAATGAAAATACTTACACTATAGCAAACTTATTTAAATATATAAAATATAAAAATTAAATTCCAGAAAGGTAAAATACTTCAAAGGTATTTTTCCCTTGATTTTGATTCTGCTCCTATTCTCTCCATTTTCATACAGTCACTAGATAACTTGTCTTTAATTAGCAACATAAGAAGAAAACATTACAGGAAAAAAAATTACGGGCTAGCAAAAATGTAAGAAAAAAGTAAAAAGGCAGGGGCGAGGACTCCAAGAGACAGATATGTCTCAAAGTAAATGGACTGATGTCAGTGTGATAATATCATAAAGCTCCTGTAAAAGAGCTTAGACTATGTAACAATGATAGGATACAATAAGAAAGTTCATGTGCTTAGGTAAAGGGTTTATAGCACATTTGGCAGAATTGCTTAAGGTTTGAATACAAAAACTGGAGTCAAGTTCTACACGGTGATCTACCTAAAGATAGCACTTCATTTGAAAGCAGGTCAAAGTGTATGTTAACCAACCAAAAATCAATCATGTAATTAAAACATTTATTTCTTTAAGCGCTTTAATGCTTTTAACATTAAATTTGCTTAGTTGGCACTCAGAACAAGAGAAGAAAAAATATAAAGGCAACATGTCCTTTGATCAATACTGCACGTTTACCTGTATCATACATTCAAACTGGTACATACAAAGGCCCAATTCTGCCATACTTGGTTTAAAAAGTTCACGAAGTCTATAGTCTTGCATTAATTTAACAAATACACAAAAAGCTTCTTCTTCTGGCATCTACATTGAAAGAAAAATAACAACATAGGTTAACGTTCTACGATACGCAAATAGCCCAGATGATACTTAAACCAAGTACCCAGCCAACCATAAGCACTGAGTGGCTGTGTGTTGCAATGTTAAGAGCAATGAGCTAAAAATCAGAAAGTTCTAGTAGTCTCCCATTCTATCACCAAGAATGAGAAGTTGGACAATCTTACAACCTCTGAAACCAACTGCCTCAACTTGCCTCACTCATTAATTCAACCAATAAATACTGATTTATAGTCAGATACTTTTCTCTCTCTGGGTATACACCAGTAAACAAAATAAACATAATATCTATTCTCAAGGAACCTGAACTTTCTAATGGAGGGAGACAGACAAGACATGGAATAAATCAACTAATAGATGTATCAGATGGTGATGGGTGCTATAGAAATAAGGTAAAGTAGGGTAATAGGGAATGCTGGCGAGACACACGGCTATTGATGTAGATCAGGAAAGGTCCCCTGATATGGTAACAGCTAGGCAGAATCCTGAAGAAAGCAAGGGAGCATCTGAGGAAAGAACAGTTCCAGAAGACCAAAGAGTACAAAAGCCCTGAAATGGAATTACATTTGGCATGCTCAAGAAAGAGCAAATAGAGAACTATTAAATTAGTATATTATGAGTGAAGGTTATACCATGGAGGGAAATAACAGGGAACCAAATGCAGAGGGCTGTAGAGGCCACTGTAAGGATTTTGACTTTTACCTTAAGTAAGAGAGAAGGTTTTTTGAGGATTCTGAGCAAAAAAATCGTATGATGTGGCACAAGCAATAAAAGAACATGTAAATTACGTTATCGCATTATCTGAAATTGGGGTTTAAAGGTACCAATTTCACATGTTTATGTGTAAATCATTAGGAAATCATATCAAATAAGATAATGAATGTGAAAGCTCTGTAACGAGCTACAAAGACATTCAGAAAACTTAGGCAAATAACTATCCAAATTGTTAAGCCATCTTTCTCAAAATAATAAAATCTGCTAATTCTCACTCATTCTCATTATACCAGTGTGCTTCAAAAGGGAACACCCCAAAAGATCTCCAGGCCTTATTCTTACTGAAGACTGCTGCTAATAACAAGACATTTTCCCTGGCCTTGACACAGCCACGGACAGGAGCCAAGAGTTACTCTTGGCAAAACCTGCTCTTCCTTCCTCCCAACACAAATGGCCACAATTCTACTTTGGAGACTATCTCTATGAATTCGATCAAGCCCCACAGCCCCACTGAATTATTTCAGTCACTATGAGAAGCCCCAAATCCCAGGACTTTCATCGTATATGACTTTACTGTTCCCCTAATCTGACCCATTTCCAATCTTTCCTCAACCTTTTCCACAGCATTTTCTGGAACCCACATCCTGCCATCAACAGAATAGTCTACCTATATCCTCAGTCTTTCTTCCAAATGTTCCTCTCTTCCTTTAGCTGAAATCTGGATCTGTCCTAAGAATATTTCAACACTGGAAGCTGGCTCTCCCCTAAGGTAGTTGTTTTCTTTCCCACAGCATGGAAGGGGACAGAGATTACTGAGGCATAGTATGTCCTTAGGCGATTTCATCATTGTGCAAACATCATAGAGTGCACCTACACAAACCTACATTGCATAGCTTACTATACACCTAGGCTACATGCTATTCAGCCTATTGCTCCTAGGCTACAAACCTGTACAGCATGTTACTATACTCAATTCTGCAGGCCAACTGTAACATGATGACACATATTTGTGTATCTAAACATAGAAAAAGTAAAGTATGGGCGCACCATCACACATGTAGTCCACTGCTGACCAAAATGTTATTGCGCAGTACATAATTATAATTTCCCTTTTTGTCTTACAACAATTTTTTCTCTTTTGAACATATTAAAACAAGTTTCATTCCCTCTCCTCTTTGCAATAACAATGATATGGGAACTAGGGGAGAATTTTTTAATGGCAACATTTTAAAAAATAAGTTGAAGTAATTTGAAGAAAGAAGAAAAGAAGACAGAAAAAATATCACTAGGTCTTTCCCAAAAAAACTGAAACCATGGTGGCAAAATGAAAACATGTGACACAGAGTGGCATATACCAAGTTGCCTTATAGTCATTCCTTTCCATTAGAAAGAAATCAAGACACTTGAGTCCTAGAGCAATGTGGTGTACGTCCTTTCTCTGTGACTCTGAGCTGATAAGACTTCGTGTCTTTTGCAAAGGTCTAATGCAGGCGATATACCAAATTTTATAGGGGTAAGGTATACACAAAACATACATATCTAGCAGTTTTAACCATTTTGATACAATATATGCTAACTTTACAAATTTTATCAGACTCTCTGAGTTACATTTCTAAACTAAAGTTATGGGAGACAATATAGCATAAGGAATAAGAGCATAAACTTTTAAAATGAAAAGAGGAGCTTTTTCTACCTTATGGCCCTGGACCATAAGTGATCATCATTGTTGTGTTGGTATATTGCTGACACTGACAACAGCTAAGTCAATCAATCACCAAAATATCATTTATTACTCCAATGATGGTAATAATACTTATTGAAGTTCGTATCTCTACACCATTGCTTGCTCTGTTTTGAAGGAAACTGTGGTTACTAGAGGATTCACAGGATCCAAAGGATTCCTAGAAAGCTAGGTCAGCTGTTGAGAGATTCATACCTCAAGCAGGAAAAAACTGCTCTTTAGATGTCCAAGAGAAATGAATACTAAAAGTTACTGTGGCGTTAACAAGAAAATAAAAGGAACAGAACCACAGCAAAAATCACTAGACTGATAATAAGGATGTCTCAGTTCGATAATGAAAGATCTACCAATACTAAACAATTATAAATTAGGAAAATTATAATTTTCAATTAGCAATAATCACACCTTGGATAAACCTCATTGGCTACGAAACTGCCACTGCACAAGCTGAAAAATCGTAATTCTGCTAAACAACTATACCTTAACATTAACAAATCTAGTTTTGCATTGTATAATTTATAACATAATTCCACTTAGAAATCAATAACCACTGGGAGCACTTCTTATGTGTTCTTACATATGCTATAACACAAAGTAAAAATTATTTTTTTACTTGGTTTAAAAAGTTCAGAAAACAAGTATGTGTATAGTCCTGATAGCAACAGAGCTTCAAAACTCAGAGAAGTTGGGAAGTGAAAGCAAAGCATCGGGAAACAGTTTCTGATTCCTACTCTGCTTTTATCTACCAGGAAGTGTGATCTTGGGCAAGTCAATGAACTTTCACTGCATTTTTCCTATGTGCCAAATACCATGCTAGGCTTCTACATAACATTACCTCAAATAACCTCCAGTAATGAGGAGTAATCTTTTTCTAACCAAGGAGGGAATAATTACAGTGTTGGTAAGAAAATCTTTTTTATATTGTACATCTTTAGAAATTTACAGAGAATTTAATTGATCATGGAGCTAAAGGTCTGTTATGTATACCTCACTGTATGCTCTAATATAGTGGTACTCAGCCACTTTTACTCCCTCAAGGATATAACTTTGTTACTGAGTAATTTTGCAATGGGTTTGAGTGGGATGTTTTCAGAATTCAGGGGCAGGATAATCACAGCTTTGAAGGGAACTAATCACAACTGATCTGAAAGTAGACAGTATTATCTTATTAAGGCTCAGAGAGAGGTTAAATAATCTACTCTAAATTCATACAACATGTGCAGAACTGAGTTGCAAAACCATCCTATATGACTCAAACCAAGTCATCTCCATGATTCCTTTTCAGGACTGAAATCTGAGACTAAATAAAGAGTAAGATGGACTTAACATTTCAACAAAGCAAAAGAGATAATACTATATGCCATTTCCCTTCAAAGCTATGATTATCCTATGCATGAATTCTGAAAACATCCCACCCAAACCCACTGCAAAACTACTCAATAACTATTTTAGAGCATGCAGTGAGGTATGCATAACAAGCCTTTAGCTCCATGATCAATTAAATTCTCTATAAACTTCTGAAGATGTTATACAATATAAGTAAGATTTTCTTACCAACACTTTAATTATTCCCTCCTTGGTTAGAAAAAGATTACTCCTCATTAAATGTTGACAAGTAAGATTTTAAAATACTGTAGATACAAACTTTAGACTATTATAGTAAAAATGTATATATCATGAAGTTGAAATTTCATTAGGTAGTAAGATATTATTGCATGTTATTTTAACACATTTTCCCTTTTAAAGTGCCAACTAAATATTTGTCTTTGAATTATGCCTAGAAAAAAATGCCCAATATCCACTTATATTTAATAAAAACAAAGATGTTTTTTAAACTCTCCAATTTAACTTGAATTAAGAATTTCATTGGACATTTAATACTTATATTAACTTACCTGCATAAGCAACAATCCAACTATAAAAGCACTTCCTTGACAGTAACCAACCTCACGATCCACTAAAGAATAAGCCTAAAAAGTAAAAAACTGTTGTTCAAAATACATGGTAAGTTACACCTTCCTTGACCATTTGTTTTTTAGAAAAGCTCTTGCTTGCTTGTTATAGATGTTATCCTATACATATTTAAAAAGCAAATGTTTTATTACATGAAATTTTGTTTTGACAATTTCCCAATTCAAACATGGTAGCTCCTGAAGACAATATAATAAAATAAAATAAAGGGATTTGTACTCAGGAAGGTGATAGGGCTTAAAAATCAAGTAAAATTTATATTGATGTGGATAAAACTAGACTAGGTTTAAGGCAAAGGATTGGCTAAATGAAATGATTAAACAAGAATCGGTATTTCACAGAGACAGCTGAAAGAGAAAGTAACCGTGGGAAGGGAAATGGCAATATTGAAGAAAAATTAGCTGGGCATGGTGGCGCGTGCCTGTAATCCCAGCTACTCAGGAGGCTGAGGCAGAAGAATTGCCTTCACCCAGGAGGCGGAGGTTTCGGTGAGCCATGATGGCGCCGTTGCACTCCGGCATGGGTAACGAGCGAAACTCCGTCTCAAAAAAAAAAACAAAAAACAAAAAAAAACAGGAGTTCAACCAGGGAGAGTACCCATTAATGGTATTTACTTTCAGTATTGGAACCTGAGCTTTTATCATTTGTAAAACCACTTTTTTAACCCATGTTAATTATCCAGAAGCATGTTCGCTTGGAACCTCTGTTATTAAAGCTCTACTGAATAAATGTGAGGAGGAACAACTAGAGGTTGTCATGTAGCTATGATCGGTCTCTCTCATTGTGAGAAACCCATGATCCCCTCACCTGATTCTTAAAAAAAAAAAAAAAAAAAAAAAAAAAATTGAAGAAAAAATGACAATGGTACACCTTTCAAGGGCTAAGTGTTCTTAACAATGCTGGTCACAGCAAGGAGAAAAATTTGCTGACTATACAAACTCAGATCTGCCAGGAGAAACCCACATCCCAGGCTCTGGACTTCACAGATGGTGAATTATCCATTTTTATGAGGAGCCCTCTATGGTATGTGATTTATAAGCTATCGCATTTCTATCAACTAATGCTGAATAATGTAGTAAATATTCTAACAAGTCGTCTACACTATACAGTAATGTAGCCATCAGAATTAAGGCAAAAATAGTGCTAAAACCAATTTTATTGCCAAAGCAACTGATTACTGTGGTGGGAGGTCATGCTTCATCATGAAAAATGTGTGATTTCAACCTTCCAGGAATTCATTTCATTTCAAAATATAAATAAATAAAACTGAGTAAAAATAAATAAATGAAACTTACCTTCATTACATTAAATAAAACCTCCTGTCCAAGGCTATCTTTTTCCTTAAAAAAATTGTGCTCAGGATAAGTTCTAGCAATGTCCCTTCGGATCAATTTTTCACAAGGTGAGGTCATTTTCAGTAGGTCTGAATACTGATCCTTAATTGGCATACTTTGTGCACTGCATAAAAGTTGCCAAACTATTGCTCTAAAGTGATGAGGTATCCCTTTACGGACAAGTTCCTAAAAATAAAATAAAAATTTTTAAATGAATTATTTAAGCCTATCTTGCAAGCAAAGGACACTTATTAGGGGGTTGGAATGAAGTGGAAGACTTCATCAAATTTGTAACTCACAAAACTAGTTTTATAATAAGACTAGGGAACCCTTTAAGCCAAGGGTAAGATTGGGCTTTAGGTGTATCCTGTTCTGGTCAGAGGATTAATAATGGTCATTTCACCTCAGTGTGTGGCCTCTTAAGGTAATGGACCTGAAACCTGCAAAGCTGTGAATGATGGTACAGTACCCATCATTCAAAGGGCTACTGAAGGCAAAAAAAAAAAAAAAAAAAAAAAAAAAAAAAGGAAAATACTGTAATTCAAGAATTCAGGATATTACAACTTCATTTCTGAACCTATATAATTAGAGAATTTAATTTCTAAAACAATTTTCAGGCTGGGCATGGTAGCTCACAACACTTTGGGAGGCCAAGGCAGGAAGACTGCCTGAGGCCAGGAGTTTCAGACCAGCTGGGCAACAAAGTAAGAACCCATTGCTACAAAAAAGTGAAAATAAAAAATTAGCCAGGTGTGGTGGCACACACCTGTAGTCATCGTTACTCAGGAGCCTGAGGCAGGAGAACAGCTTGAGCCCATAAATTCGAAGTTATAGTGAGCTACGATTGCACCACTGCACTCCAGCCTAAGCAACAAAGTCTCTATAATAAGTAAATAATTTTCAGCTGTACATTTTATATTTCTACATTATCAGGACCTCTGTAACAACTGATGTCTTCAAATTAAAATTCTAGGGGTGAAAGTAAGTGAAAACAAATAAAGCAGACCTCTTTAACATACAGCTTGAAAGTTGTCAGAATTTGGGTTTTTTTTCTAATACTCTATTAAGTTATGCCTGACACACTTTGGAATGAGAATAAGAATGTCAACAAAGAACATGAATACCTTAACTTGTTTTTCCTTTTTTTTGCGTACATCTTCCCATTCATTAACAATTCTTCCCCAAAGAATCCAAGAATCTTCTTCAAGGTGACTGAGGTTGCTAGAGGCTGATGAACTCGACACAAGAGAAGAGCCACTGTTTCTTCTTGACCCATTTACAGATCTTAAAGATTTACTATCCGTTTCTAACAATCTAAAACATAATTAAAAACTGTTCAAGATCTAATCTAACAGTGATATTAGAAGAGGCAGTGATGATACTTAGAGCTTGATTACTGTAATTTAGCCACTGTTTTAAAATACAGTTTAATAATATACATAATTTAAATAAATTTTGGTCAGCATCAATAAAATTACTGCTACATTTTTTCACCTATCATAGTAGTTTGAAAATTTGAAAAGCAAATTAAGGTAAATATTTTTGAGTTACTAGCCCCATTATAATCCCCCTTCATCTCCACTAACATTTCAAATTGGGGGATATCTGATGAGAAAAGTAGATGGATAGGCTTCAGGAAAAAAGAACTTACACTTGGAAGAGATTCAATAAATCTACGAAATAACTAATTCTAAAATGTTTACACTATGTCCAAGGCTTAAAAGTAAGGCAGAGCCCCCAAAATTAACCAAATCACTTCTCTTTTTTCATTTTGCTTCACACATGCAGAATTAATTTGCCCAAACAAAAAGTATTTATGTGGCCTATGCAGTGTTTGTGTAAAAAACTGAGCTATTACTAATACATTAAAATTGGAGGATTTCATGTATTTGCTTATATGCATTTATACTTTATTTATAATTCTAGATTCTCCTGAAAAATAAAAACATAAAACCAGTCTACACTCCTGCACAGTAATGACAGGATACAGCTGCATGGGAGCTTCTTCCTTCAAATGCAGGACTTTAATCTGATCAATTTCCATAATCCCTATAGTCTCCCCTAAAACTCAGAGCAGCTAACAGCTGCTATTTATTACTGGGCTTACACTGTTAAACTGGGACCTCTTCACTCATGAAATCCCTGTATTAGGCCTCCTCCTTATCTGATGAAAGATGGGTTAAGATAATTCTAAGAGCCAATCAATGACTAATCACATTAAGTCTTTTATTTCTTTCACATATGCACCAGCTATAAAGGAAGTTTAGAAAATGTGGCTCTATCACTATTTAACATAGCTACTACTCACTTCCAGTAATTCTTCCAGGAAAAGTCATTCGCTTAGGGTACAACAAATACTCACAACACAATTCATAAAATACAAAAGCTGAGAAAGAAAAGAAACATATATAGGTTGAATCCTACTTAGCAGATTATTAGAAGCACCCTTTGAGAGCCAGATTTATATGTGACTCCTCTTTATATCCCTTAGAACATTTAGTTCAATGCAAAGTATATTAACTATCAAAATAAAATCGTGTAAGTCCAAAATTTTAAAATTCCAAATTCCAGGTATGTCATATTCAGTAACACAACAGTATAAACTAAGCAAACAAATTCTATCCCTATTGAGGGAAAATTTAACATATTTTCATGGCAACAATAATTAAAATAAAATTTCCCAAATATTGCTAAAAACATAAAAATGTACCAAACAGCCAAAGTAAGCATCAACTAATTACTATAAATAATTTTACTTGAGAAAAAGAATTAATTTGGAACAAGGTTCCTGAGGAAAAAGAAAAAGATAAAAAAAGAATTAATGATGATGTTTTACTTTCAATAATGTTTTTAAATACATATTATTTCAGTAAGCCCATAATATATCTTATGGAAAAATAAGGTTACCTAAGTAATTTTCCATATGATTCTAAATCCTAAGAATTGTAGATGGAATAGAGAAATAAATTTTACTCAAATAATCTAAACCTTAGTTCTTTGCTTCACTTATTTACTGAATGCTTGCTACATCTCAATTAAATTGCATCACTATCAACAGAGATACGCAGTTCAGAGAAAGTAATGGTATTTCCCAAGTTACACCTAAGTTCAAGATATAATTCAAGTCTAGATGAAGAAGCGCCTAAACAGAAGGCTTTTAGAGAATCAGAAGGTCTTGGATTGCTGAGCTTTTAATATAACTTCTAGGATGGGCAAGAATATTAAGTGAATTCATAGCATTCGTGGGTTAGAGAAGATTAAGCAGTCAACCTTCCAAGAATATGGAAATAGCACATCCAATTATACAAAGCTGTGAGGAATGTTTACAAATAAAACATCTCAAGACATTACACAATTTAAAAATACTGTCTCTGCTTTATCTCATATCATATGTAAAAATGACTTAAAGTGAATAAGCCTAAATGTAACAAAACTATAAAACTCCTAAAAACAAAATATAGGAAAACCTCTTCACAACCTTCGGGGTAGGTAAAAATTTGTTTACAGGACATAAAGAAATAGTAACCATAAAAGAAAAGATTAGAAAACCGGACTTCACCAAAATTAAAGAGCTGTGCTCCTCAAAAGATACTAATTTAAAAAATGAAATGGCAAGCTAGACCAGAGACTAAGGGAAAAAAAGTCTCAATACAGGTATCTAACAAAAGATTAGTATACAGAATATATGAACCCACCCTTAAGGTCAAAAACTAAGAAGCCAAACACCACATTTTAAAAAATGACTAAGAGATGTAAGCTGATACTTTCCAAAAAAGATAATCAAATAGCCAATAAGTACTTGAAAAACGTTTAACATCTTTAGTTATCATGGGAAATGCAAGTTAAAACCAAACTACATACATACTAGAATGGCTACAATTCTAAAGACTGACTATACCAAATGTTGGCCACGATGGAAGCAATTGTAACTCATATCAAAATTAAAAGTATAAAATAGTATAACACATTTCAGAACTGTTTGATAATTCCTCATAAAGTGAAAATACATTTCCATGTGGTCTAGTAAGTTAAATGAAAACATATGTACAAAGAAGATATAGTTGAAAGTTCATAGCAGCTTTATTCACAATAGCCCAAAACCAGGTACAATCCAAATGTTCAGAAAAATAAGTGATCAAACTGTGGTACATTCATTCATGGTGAAACTATTCAGCAATAAAAAAGAAAGAAACTAATGACACATGCATCAGCATGGATGAATATTATAGATGTTAGGTAGAATGAAAAAAGCCAGGTGCAAAAGGTACATACGATATGATTCCACCTATATAAATTTCAAGAACAAGCATAATATAGAAGAAAATACAGGACTAAATCTTCATGACTTTGAGTTAGGTAAAGCCTTCTTAAATATGATCAAACGCACATGTGACAAAAGAAAAAATAGATACACTGGAATTCATAAAATTAAAACCATTTTGTACTTTACTGGCTACCACCAAGAAAGTGGAAAGATAATCTACAGCAGGCGTCCTCAAACTTTTTACACAGGGGGCCAGTTCACTGTCCCTCAGACCGTTGGGAGGGCCGCCACATACTGTGCTCCTCTCACTGACCACCAATGAAAGAGGTGCCCCTTCCTGAAGTGCGGCGGGGGGCCGGATAAATGGCCTCAGGGGGCCGCATGTGGCCCGCAGGCCGTAGTTTGGGGACACCCGATCTGCAGAATGGGAGAAAAGCACTTGCAGATCATGAGGGACTTGTATCGGCCGGGCGCGGCGGCTCAAGCCTGTAATCCCAGCACTTTGGGAGGCCGAGGCGGGTGGATCACGAGGTCGAGAGATCGAGACCATCCTGGTCAACATGGTGAAACCCCGTCTCTACTAAAAGTGCAAAACATTAACTGGGCATGGTGGCGCGTGCCTGTAATCCCAGCTACTCAGGAGGCTGAGGCAGGAGAATTGCCTGAACCCAGGAGGCGGAGGTTGCGGTGAGCCAAGATCGCACCATTGCACTCCAGCCTGGGTAACAAGAGCAAAACTCCGTCTCAAAAAAAAAAAAAAAAAAAAAAAAAAAAAAAAAAAGAAAGAAAGAAAGAAAGGAAAATCCAGGCCGGGCATGGTGGCTCACGCTTGTAATCCCAGCACTTTGGGAGGCCGAGGTGGGCGGATCACAAGGTCAAGAGATCGAGACCATCTTGGCCAACATGGTGAAACCCCGTCTCTACTAAAAAAAAATACAAAAATTAGCTGGGCATGGTGGCACATGCCTGTAGTCCCAACTACTCAGGAGGCTGAAGCAGGAGAATTGCTTGAACCTGGGAGGTGGAGGTTGCAGTGAGCTGAGATCACGCCACTGCACTCCAGCCTGGCGCCTGGCGACAAAGCAAGACTCTGTCCCAAAAAAAAAACAAAAACAAAACAACACCACCACCACAAATTAGCTGGGCATGGTGGCGTGCACCTGTAGTTCCAGCTACTCAGGAGGCTGAGGCAGGAGAATTGCTTGAACCCAGGAGGCAGAGACTGCAGTGAGCCGAGCTTGTGCTGCTGTACTCCAGCCTGGGCCTGGTGACAGAGCAAGACTCTGTCTCAAAAAAAAAAAAAAAAAAGGAAAATCCAAATGTCCATAACTGATGAATGAATAAACAACATATGGTATAACCAAACAATGGAATACTACTCAGCCATGAGAAGGAATGATGTTCTGATACATGCTATGACATCAATGAACCTTGAAAACATTATGCTAAGTTAATGAAGCCAGTCACAAAAGGGCACATATTCCATGAATACATTTACATGAAATATCTAGAATAAAGAAAATAGATCAGCAGCTGCTGGGGACTGTAGCAGGGGTGGAGGTAGTCAGGGAAACATGGGTTGCTAATGAGTGTGCACTTTCTTTTTGGAGTGATAAAAAAATTCTAAAACTGATTGTGTTGACAATTGCACAATTCTGTGAGTAAACAAAACACAACTGAACTGTACACTTCAAATGGGTTAATTAAATATATGGTATATAAATATCTGAATAAAGCCATTATTCAAAAAAGGATAGGTAGAAGAGAAGTTTTGACAGAGGGCGGAGTTGCTAGAAAGGACACAAAGGAAATTTCTGAGATGACGGACATTTGCTAAGATGACAGAAACCTTCTAAGTCTTAATAGGTTTGTGGGTTATACACAGGTATAAACACTTGTTGAAATTCAAACCCTACACTTAAGAACTACACATTTCTCAGGCAGGTGCGGTGGCTCATGCCTGTAATCCCAGCATTTAGGGAGGCCAAGGCAGGCAGATCACGAAGTCAGGAGATTGAGACCATCATGGCTAACATGGTGAAACCCCATT